TACACGGTTATGGTTTAGGGTTTAGGGTTTAGGGTTTAGGGCTGTGCAAAATTACCTATAGTCTCAATTGTAGTTCCTCTTGGGTTAAGCAATATGTGGTTAGGCATCAATGAAATGTATGGGGTTCACAGGGGACTACAATGGAGACTCTAGGCACAGGAGCCATTATCATCACAATTGGGTTCCTTTCAAGGGTTACTTTTTGTTACCTTTAAAGGGGGCTAGAGGGCCTAAGAATTCGGAAAGGGTCTCGGCGTGTCCGACACAGTATTCAGGGCAAGGAGCCCTGAACCTAAACCCTGAACCCCTAAACAATAGTCAGTGAATAGAATAGGGACTGAATAAGGTCTTGGGGATATACTATACCCTAAACCCTAAACCCTAAACCCTAAACCCTAAACCCTAAACCCTAAACCCTAAACCCTAAACCGTATACTATACGAATTATAAACATCAGTCAACGATAAGGAGAACAACATTCCAGATCCCCAAGCCCTAAACCCGAAACCCACAACCTTGAAAGGGTTCAGGGTTTAGGGTCAAAGGCTTTGGGTTTAGGGTTTAGGGTTTAGGGTTTAGGGTCTAGGGTTTAGGGTTTAGGGTTCGGGGATTAGGGTTTAGGGTTTACCCTCAGCCCCAAACCCTAAACCGTGGCAAGCTGGGCCTTGGTGTCAAGCTGCAGCGCCGCCCATACGACGTCCGCCGCAGCCTCCACGGCGGCACCGACACCACCACCATCGCTGTTGCCTCCGAACTTGCACAGCTTTGGGTTTCTGGTTTAGGGTGGTTTAGGGTTCAGTGTTCCGGGCTTAAGGGTCTTTGCCAGGAAGTCACTTCAAGCTGACTGCATCTTATATCTAATAGCAGAATCCCACCAGGTCAGAGACGGTTGGGTAATATAGGGCCCTGAATAATTAGAACAGGCTTTTGGGCTCTTGTATAGTACTATTGTTATAAGGAACCCCCAAAATAGTATAGGTAATTATTTAGGCTTCTATATTAATAGTCACAGGGTAAGAATACGCTCTGCCTCACCAGGTCAGACAAACAGTCGCATTAGTGTCACAATGTTGCCGTCCTATCCTCACAGCTACGACATGCGCGATAAAGGAAACATGTCCAATGCCAACCACACTAATTAGAGCGTCTGAGCATGCTTAAAAGCACTTATTCATCCAGAGTTGATGCTTGCGGCAGTTTAAGCGAGCCTGTCCTCCTTACCTGGCTAGACAGGGAATGAACGCGCCCACAGTACGCGGGCCAAAAGCGGAAGGGAGCTCGCCAAGTGAAGGCTTCTGCGTCCACGGCGGGTCCCCGCTCCCGTTGGAGCAAAACTTGCAGAGAGCTATACATCAGCGTGATGGGTGCACCGTGTGAGTCAACAGCACATCACCATCATAATTAATGGATTCGATGAAAATCTCCGACTTGCTGATGGTGAGGTCATAGAAGCCATACTGCCCCTCGCCGTACCAATCCTCCGTCTCTTCTGGATTTGGCGTGGCCTCCGACGTAATGCCACCGCCACCGCCCGTCACGATGCACGTCACGCCCATGTGGTTCTTGGCATAGTCATCCGGAAGCCACAGCTCCTGGTCATGTCGGTGTCCAGTCACAAGCAGATCCATCCCCAAATCACGCAAGGACTTGTAGAAGTCCTGTTCATGTCCGCAGGGGAAGTGGGTGACCACGATCTGCCAGTTGGCCTTACTCTGTCCCATGAGCTTCGTGACCCATGGCTTCTGCTCCGCCCAAAGCGAAGCAAACCAGCCAGGGCAGGCATCAACTGACTCGGGGCCATCTGCCGCAGCGCAGGAAGCAGAGGGCTTGTTGTTCTTCCGACTGCACATGTTGTGGTTGGGGTCCTCCTCGGGTGGCATGGCATCGATGAAGTTGGAGTCAAGGAAGAAGTAATCCACATCGAAGTCCTGATCCGCGTAGACAACGGAGGTCTTGTAGTAGGGAGCCGGCATGACCCAGCGGTTGCTTGCCCAGGTGTAGGAGATCTGCTGATCCCAGCCGTTGTCGAACTTGAAACCTCCCCAGTCATGGTTGCCCAAAACACTGAACCAGGGCTTGTTGGTGAGGCCCGCTCCTTGATACACACCTTCGAAGATCTGATCGAACTGGTGCTTCGTCGGATACGAGATCTGATCCATCGGACTCCCGCATGTCTTCTCGATACCGCCCCAGTAGAAGTTATCCCCAACGTTGAGGATATATTGCGGGTCAACGAGGGCAGCACGGGCTTTAAAGGCGTTGGCCACCAGCAGCTGCGGTTGGTCGTCTACGCCTGCCACGTAGCCACACTCTGGTGTGCATGGCGCCTGTCCCCGGGTGTTAAAGCACTCCACAAGCTGCTTGTGGTCGCAGAACCTAGGTTCCCCAGTAGCCCCCAAATAATAAGAGTACCCTTTTTCCTCCTACTTGGTTTTATTGAGGGAACCGAAAAAGAAAAAGGGCAAAAGGGTACTACTGGGGGACCCAGGAACTGCACAGTGTGCATCTTGTTCCACCGACTCCTGGGAAAGACGCTGGGCCCTGGCCGGCGTCCCCAATCGTAAGCAACGATGGTCTTCCGGCCCTCTGGTGGGTCCAGGGAACCATCCATGCCACCCCAGTCACCGATGGCAAAGATGTGCATCTCCTGGGCTTTGAAGTAACCAGGGAGAAAAAAGTATAGACTTTTATTTCATAATGGTTCCCTTTAGGAACAGGTTCCCAAAAAAAGTATTAAAGTATGGTACTCCAAAGCCCAGTCTCTTGGGTGCCATGGATCACTGTGGTTGGCCAGTGCTGACCTTTGTAGCCCAGGGCGGTTTTGGGAGGAACGCATCCAACACCCTTGTCAGTCCCATCGCACCCAGGGCGATGGCTAGCATAGAGCTGGTTGCCTGCGAAGCAGCCCTAAACCCTAAACACCCTAAACACCCTAAGCCCTAAACCCCTAAACCCCAAAACCCCAAAACCCCACTCTAACTAGTCAGGCCCCTATATTAGAGCTGGTTGCCTGCGAAGCAGTCGCTGCAAGGCGGATTGCTGCATCCCGTGCACGGCGGCAAGCCGCAGAAGGAGTCCCCCGGCGGTGAGCAGTAGTAGAGCCGCTGGAAATCCTGCAAGTTGCCCTGCTCATGACCTGACTCCACAATTAAGCAGCCGAATCAAACCCTGACTTTCAGAATCATTAATTAATCTATAAGAATCAGAATCAGAATCATATGAATCAATCTGTAAGAGCCGGAAACAAACGAAAAAGCGTGATACTAATTGGGGAATTATGTGACTGACGCCGGCGATCGTCGGCATGCTCTTGTACCAGCCGCCTGCCGCGCTGTCCCACTTGCCCCCTCCGGCTGCCCACTCCACCACTTCCTTGCATCCCGCATTCCTGGGTTCTTTGTTAAGGTGTTTAGGTTTTAGGGGTATGTAGGGGCTTACGGTTTAGGGTTCTTTGTTAAGGTGTTTAGGTTTTGGGGTTGTTTAGGGGTTTAGGAGTTTAGGATTGAAGGTTTAGGGTTTAGGGAGGGGTTTAGGGTTTAGGGTTGCTAACTT